TCCGATTCACTCAAATCCACAAAGCGGTCCATATTGTACCCGGGCATTTCAGAAATTATAATTTTATATTTGCAGGTTTAGAAATATTGTCAAATAACAAAACAGATTAATTACATTTAATTTATTTGCAAACTTTATTATAAAATAGAAACGTAAATAATTATAAATACTGTTTATTTTAATATGAAGTAAAATGGCTATTATAATACGATTGAAATATTATTTCATATTGATAATATGCATTAATTGATATAATTTCCTAGGTTACTAAAGTGTTTTGATTAATAATTATAGATATTGTCAATTATATTATTTACTTAATAAATAATTTTAAGCATAAATATATTTAATGTGTATAAAAATAAAAATTTAATAGATTTCATTAAAATTATTTATTCATACGACACGCACTTTGTCGCAAACACAATAAAATTAATATTATCAATTTCAAAATTCAAAAAGTGTTTCACGTAGATAATATGATGTGTACCATAATAACCAGCACGAATAATTACTTGCCATTCATAATTTGAATATTGCTTTTTTATGAGTTCCCGATAACATTTAGCCATGTCATCCAATTTAGTTGACCTCACAATGGCGTTATTGAGCAATATTTTTATGTTATCAATCTTATCTTGTTTCATTGTCCCCTTGACAATTCTAAACTTTTCCCTAATGTAATCCATTTTAAATTTTAATTTTAGGGCGTTATAGTTAATCTAAGAAAATTAAAAATATACTTGAATTAATGATTTATAAATTTTTTTATATTAGTAAAATAGGTACCTGTTCATTCTCAATTAGGCTATTAGTTGAACATGATGCAACCGGTTCATTATCTTTTGTAGCAAGCTCTAATTTCCGTTTTAGTTCTTGATTCTCCTTGCTCATTTTATTATTCAAATCAAGCAGTGATTCAACGCAATTATGTTTGGATAATTTTTCACAATGACATAATTGACAAATTATATCCACAAACTTACAAGTAATTGTGTGCTGGGTCAATTCACCTAATTTAAGTACTTCATTACAACCTCTCTCTTGAAAATCACACCGAATTTTCAAATTCATTAACATATTTACCAAGGCCCTAAACATATAAATATATATATAGGTAGATTAAAGTCTATTTTTGTAAATACAAATTAATTTTTACCTTGGTGGCCTGGTTAAACTATCAATATTTAGTACTTTTCTGTCGTGTGGACAGGTAGTTTCCGTATTAAGCCATTCATTGATACACTGCTCGCAAAACATCTGCAGACAACAGGGGGCCACCACTGGGTTCCGGAGTATGTCCTGACATATACTGCATTGCATTTCATCCCTTTCCGATTCACTCATACCCACAAACCGGTCGGTGTTATACCCGGGAATTTTTGATGCAATTAAATATTAAATACCAAGAAAATGAGTTATCACTACAATATATTCTAATTAAATATGGATTGAATTAATTAAAAATATATTGAATAAAATTGTGATATTTTTTAAATTTTATTTAATAGTAACTAAAATATCTATATAATTTACAGGACTTGTATGAAATATTTTATGTTTTATTGAGATAATACAAATTATTTAATATAATTGCCTAGGATACTTCTCTTATCTGATGGATATAGATAAAGTAAGCATGGCATTAAATGTCGTAAAAGTGTGCTTAATGCACTATTGAATGTAATGATTAAATGTTTTGAATGAGAAGTCTCAATGAGAATGTATGTTATCTATATATTACATTACTCAATCCTATATAAACATAGGATTTCCCATACTAATGACAAAAATTTTGGAAATTATTAAATATTAGTATCTCAATATATGCGACCAATAGTGCTAATAATATATATGAAAGAATTTTAAAATTATTCCAGTTAATAACAGAATAGCAGAGGTTTGAATATTCTGGATTTTGTCCATTATTGCACAAAAATCGTAAATTTAAATACGTTGCCATTCCTTTATTAATTGGAATAATTTTAAATTTTTTTCATATATATTATTTGCACCATAGGTTGCATATATTGAGATACTAATATTTAATAATTTCCAAAATTTTTGTCATTAGTATGGGAAATCCTGTC